TGATATCCAATTGCAACCATAATGGGGAGGGGTTGCGGCGGTAAAACTTGTTGCTGGCTAATTTTACCGTCGCTGAATCCCGGAAGGACAGATTTCCGGGACATTGTGCATCATTCACAGATGCCCAGGAGCTACTGTCAATTTGCGGGAGACTCCCAGTAGTTCTAGGACATGTGGGATATCTGATATTTAAAACACAGATACATATACAGCCTTGGAAAACATTAAGAGACCACTCTTTTTAAACAAATCTGCATTTTTAAATGCTGGTTTAACCGTGGTTCTGCTGGCAGAAGGTTACGCTGAGCAGCAGGTTGCTTCCAGGTTCAAAATTTCTAAGACAGCAGTACACAAGAATAAGGTAAAGCAGGAGACACTGGGAACGACCAGAAACCAGCCAGGTAAAGGGCGGAGGTGACTTTCTAATGCCAGAGATGACCAGCAACTTATCCAACAGTGCCTCATGAATCAGAGGATGACATACAGTGATCTTCAAAAAGAATGGGAAGCATTAAGTGCAGGTATGGTATATAGGAACTATAGTCCCATAAAGCAAGGAAGAAGCCCTTCATTAATGAGAAACAGGGAGCAGTCTGCATTTACAGAAAATATATTATTCACAGACGAACACCCATAAATTGAGAAATGAGTGAAACAAATTGTGCTGAGGTCCATTCATCTGTTTTCCATGGATGAATATGAGGCCCCTGTAGCACAACAAAGTAGAACATTGCACTAATTAATGAGTAAATACTGCTCGTTTCAGATGCCCCTTACTCCTGGGTATGAGACGCTCTTAAAGGAACCCTTTCAGCAGGAGCAGTAAGTGGGCCACCGACGTAGCATCACGTGCAGTGTGGTGCTTCTATGGCCGACGCCCAGGTGCGGGTGATTCCTCTCCTGGCATCGCTGGACGGCTGCACTGCACCTGACCTACAGACACTTCATTTATCTGTTTGTTTTGATCAAGTCATTGCTTCAGCTGCCGTTGAACGACCATGTATCAGGATGAACACAGGAGCTCATACCTGAACAATTACAGGGTGGATTTGATTATGCTGGTTTTAAGGGGTTGCATCCGATATGCACACCTTGAGCAGTGACACTCACGATCTTTGACCCCAGCCATGTGCCCCCCGCTGACAAACACCAGGACGCTAATGATCTCAGCCTTATCTGCAGAGAGTCCGGTGATATCAGCTTGATTTCATTGGCTGTTGTGTAAACGATGAGTGGCTGACAGCAAGCCATGACAGGAATGGGCATAGAGTGCAGAGTGACCGACACAGACTTCCTGTGTGACACGCATGAGTTCCCCACGTCTGTTCGGTTCAAATGAGGTATTATAAGAGCTCATGTAGACAATGAAGGTCTCGACCTTCTGACTACTGGCATGAAACAGGTGAAAAGTCAAGCCAACATAAACAGTCCCCCATCCCCCAACCCCACTCCTCCTCTAGGTTAACTCTGGCTCCTCTCCCCCCCCTACAGCCCCATCTGCAGGGGGTCCCCTCACCCATCTGCCTTTTTCTACCTTGTCTGTCAGGCTGTCAACTTTGCCGTCATAACGGGGTCTTCCTGTTGAACCCTCAGATAGGACATCAGAGCCGGCCATCAGGAAAACACATTAAAACTGGCAATCCATTAAGCCTTATAAGGATTCATTTCATTTAGAATGTGTCCAGTGTTAAAGTTAATGAATTAACCCAATTGATTTTGTGATGAATTGTTAGCCAGATAGCTAGATAGCTGCCGTGAATTATCAAAGTGTTTTCTGTCATTTAGTCAGATTGAAACAGTCTTATAAGATCCAAGCATTCCGTACCAGGGCCATGCTAAAGCTAGCAGAGCCTCGTAAACGTGGCCTACAAAGTAACCAGCCCTGTCCTGGCACAAAGCGGCAGCTGGCAGCACGGCTTGATGTGAGCATTCTCGAGTTTCTGAGCGACTACGCAGCCACAATGTCACGGCACTTTCCAGAACATTCAGAAACGACTCTGTGCGCGAGTCATTTACATTTTGGGATCAAGCTGTTCCCTCATTAAACACAAGCTGCCCTGAGCAGGAGTCAGTCTGTTCACAGAACATAACAGCCCGAGCGGAATTATATGTAAGCTTTTCACTTTTACCAATGATGGCCAATCACACCATTAACCCATTAGTGGTTGTTTCTACCTCTTTTGGGATTCCTCTACCCACAGTCAATATGTGAGAATACCAAGAACAACAGGGCAAGACGGCCTCTGATCACAAAGCTGTGATTTAAGACTAATGAATGTTTGACAACCCTTATCTGGCTAGCTTTCCTAACCAACCCCAAACTCTCTCCCTATCAGTTAGGCTTAACCCTAATCCTGACTGTCTGAGGTTTCCTGGTAGAACAGAGGGAGCTGATGGCTAACAGCAGAGGCTCAGTGTGTGTGTCTACTTTGAAATTCTAACAAAGAGCTGCAACAGAATTGCCACAGAGCAGCCAGGGAGCAGCCAGAGAACGACCAGAGAGCAACCAGAGAACGGCCATAGAACAGCCAGAGAGCAGTCAGAGAATGACCAGGGAGTGACCAGAGAACAGCCAGAGAACGACCAGAGAGCAACCAGAGAACGGCTAGAGAGCAGCCAGAGAACAGCCATAGAACAGCCAGAGAGCAGTCAGAGAATAGCCAGGGAGTGACCAGAGAACAGCCATAGAATGGCCAGGGAGCAACCAGAGAATGGCCAGGGAACAGCCAGAGAATGGCCAGAGAGCAGCCAGAAAGCAGTCAGAGAATGACCAAAGAGCAGCCAGAGAACAGCCAGAAAACAGAAAGAGAACACATAGAGTATAGCCAGAGAATGGCCAGATCTCCGGAGATCAGGTCCTACTCCTTGTAGTATATAAACCTGAAGTTGACCTAATGAACTTTATGGATTTTTATCTGGTGGATCTCTACCCTTCGCCTGGGAGACAGAGAAAAACAATAAAAGGCTCAACTTTTCATGATGAAACGGCAAGACTGTATACACACCAGAGCTGTCTTCATAACACAACACCACAGAGTTAGTATCTCGCAGCATTAGCGACCCGCGGAATTAGCATCTCACAATGTTAGTATTTGCAGTGTTAGGAGCCGCAGAGTTAACGTCTTGCAGCGTTAGCATTTGCAGCGTTAGCGCCCACAGTTTTAGCGTCTCGCAGAGCTGGAGACCTGGAGCATTAAAACCTGCTTAACTGCAGCCGTCCGAGCTTCTGCCATCACAGGGGGCTTCCCACATCCCCTGAGGTCCCACTCAGCCTGGGATGCTCTTCACTGTGCAGAGTTCATTCCTGATTCTCACAACCGAGAGCAGAAGGCCTTTTAATTGAACTAAGTTATCCATTTACATGCAAATCGCCTTGGGGGACAGAGATGGTGTCCATCATCCAGAGCACTTAGCGGACTGTCCCAGGCATTTTCATGGGTGCATGGGGGGGGGGGGATGTCCTGTTAAATGCCATACACCTATCAGCACCTGATCCCTGTTAATACAGTCTCTGCATGTTGATGGTTAACTGATGCTAGCAGGCCAACACTACTTTTCACTTATTCAGAACTTGGTAATGCATGCATATAAATCCAACACGTTTCAGTTTCCTGACTGCTGAACTGTGCCTCTAAGCCACGTTTCAGTAACTTGGCAAGAGTCAGAAAAGGTTACATGGATATCCAACCAAAAATGCTGTTCTTGATATTTGGCAAGGCTGAAATCCACCCCAAAAAAAGTGTTTGGAAGTGCCGTGTTTTTGAAAGTAAGAGGCATTTTTCATCACCTGACACATGACCAGTATTCCTTGGAACAGGAAAGTGATATTTCCCTGCAGCCACAAAACATTTAATTTGAATTTGCTTAGAAAATTTCCTGAAGAAAATTTGATCATTTCTGGGTGTTAAATTGACACGCTTTGGAATTGCCTCAGATTGCTTCAGTAATCTTGTCTTTTCATTGCTCTTGTAAGAGACATGATCAACAAGCACAGGTTCTTGATGTCAGCTGCAGCTTAAGCAGGGCTACAATGGGGTCACATGTGATCCTGAAAGATTTCTGTAACTGTGTACCACTGCACAACTGGGGAAAAAAAAAAACTAGCTGGCTGGTAAGTCAAAGGAGAAAGGCAAAGGGAGTGATGAGTCAGGTCTGGGAAGGAGGTACAGCAAGATGGAGTGAATGATACTATTGAGGAAAATGACTGCTGTTTTTCACCTCTTAATTTACTGATTGTTAGTAGTAAGTTTAATGAGGTTAGATGAATGGAGTGCAGCCCCTACAAAGCGGCATTTATCACACTGAGCACAGAGGCAGAGGATGAATGATGCGCTGACAGCGTCAAGCCCGCGCCTGAGCGATGATGACTCAGATCGCAGGGTCCAGTCACATCCCCGGCGTCTCGAACCAGCCCGAGTCACACCGGCAGCCGCTGCCAGGGGCGTAAGTCACTTCGCAAAGTGAGGCGTCGATCTTAGCCTGTCGGCATGGTGACAAAGCCAGTGGGGGACGGGGGTGGAATTAAACGGCAACTGCCTGAAAAGCATGTTTTTTGCCACACCAACCCAGGGGATGGAGGGACCCAGCTACAGACTTACAATCTGGCAGCAGCACTCTGAACCACAACTGTTCAGAAAAAAATAAATAAAAACATTAAGTCTGACTTTTAACCTGCAAAGGTGTAAATAGATGTCACTACAAATGTATACGTATGACTTATTAGTGCACATGGGGAGTCCCTGCACCCCATAGGGGAGAGCACTAACCCATCAGTGCCCCAGACCACTCCTGAAGGGTCAGCAGCAGCATGGAATGCCACCACCAAGCATGGTTTGCAGCTACTCCATAGCTATGGGGCCAGACTCACCATGCACTCCTCCTTAATGAACCCTCATTAGCCCTCTCGGCAGAAATGTTCATGTGTGTCTCTCATTACTAACTCTTTGCTTTGTGCTGGTGTTTTAAATTGGTTTTAAATCAATGACAAGGCCACACAACTGTTAAGTACAAAAAAATTTAATTGAACTTTTTGTATAAAAATAGGCTCCATCACTGAATTTCACACCAACTTAAAGACAAAAATTAAATAAATCCAACAGTGGGCTTCAATTCAACAACAGCAAGCACAGTTCCCTCCTGCCCCATTAAGTTAAATAGGTGACACCTATTGAACAGACTACACAAGCCCCTCCCCCCACAAGCACCCACCATTGCTCCTCAAATTAAAGCATGGATTCTGCTTTGAGACAGCAGGTCAACGTTACGTTTTGGGGGGGGAAAAGGGGGCAGAAGCGGGTCAAGGCTGCAGTGAGACTGCGGGCAAAGTCCACTTTAATAAGAAAGGCAATAAATAAATATCCAGGGTGGAATGTTTACAAATAAATACATGGGAAAAATGTACATAGATACAATATTGCAGTGTATTTAACTGAGTCAATGAATATTGCATTGGTTGTGCCTGGCAGATAGGGGTGGGGTGGGGCAGAGGCGTGTAGTGTCAGCAGTCAGACAGCAGGGCTGGGGGTGGGGGGGTGTTGTCAATAAACAAAATCGGGGTAAGGGGGGCTGGCCGGATGCAGGTAGAAGTGTGAATGAGCAGCAGGTACCACGGGTGTGCGTTGGGAGTGTGAGCTTCAAGTATTCTGCTGTGAGCATGGGTCCCACCCCTAATCATGCGACTCGGCGCCGACCGGTAACGCGCATGCCTGGGGGGTGGGGCTGGGGGTAGGGGGAGGGTGCACCGTCTGTACAGCTTACAAACACTCTGACAACGAAAGCCCCACAAAGCAGCTTTCAAAAAGGCACTGAAAACTCAAAAGGAGACAGTCTGATGAACGTCGGCTGAGCTCTATGAGAGCAGCGCGTCCGTAAGTTGCAGAAAATATAAACCAGCCTCGGAACAAAATTAAAAAACAAATAAATTAAAAGTGCTGGTTAGACCACCCGCAAGCGTTCCCCATGGGGAAACCATTCAGAAATTATAAAAAAATAATACTAAAGGAATAACAAACCATAATAAATTACAGTTCCCAGAAGGAAAGGGCAGGGCGGGGCCCACACAGTCCACTTTGTGCTCTACAGGCCCTCCTCGCCGGAGCTAGTGCCAGAGCCGTCGCTGGAGCCGTCGCTGCTGATGGCCCCCAGCCGGATGCCCCGCCCCGCCGTCTCCGGCTCCTCCGGCACACGCATCCACGGGTGATCAAAGATCTGCTCCAGTGTGGGCCGGTCCGAAGGCCGCAGGCACAGGCACCACCGGATTAGCTGCTGGCATTCTGCGGGGGGGGGGGGGGGGGCGAGCGGAGTCAGCATCCGGAGGGACGGAGAGAGAGAGAGACAGAGAGAGAGAGGCAGATACGCACCAGCAGACAACCTCCTCCTGAAGTAGAGACGTCCACGTAATATCTCCTCATCCTGCTCAAAGGGGATGTCTCCGCACACCATGTCATAGAGCAGCACGCCCAGGGACCACACCGTTGCCGAGCGCCCGTGGTATCTATGGTACCTGATCCACTCCGGTGGACTGTAGACTCTGGTGCCTGAAAACAGACATCATGTCGGATCAAATGCAACACTTAAACAGAGAGTCTTTGAACTTCGACCACAAGATACAAGAGATAAAAAGGGATAATGTCAGGTTGGGCGATTACGAGCGTGTTTACGGAGGCAGGCTGCACTGCCGTCTAAGGACCAGCACCCCCAACCCCCTCCACACACACACAGGCAGCTGACTGCAGCCCAGAAAAACAGCCTGACAGGAATTTTAGGAGCAGCTACACTGCGGCAGGACGGCAGCCATCTAAAATTACACCAAAACAAAACCCACTCACTGCGCTCGCCAAAGAAAGGCTTCAAATACCCCCCCGCCCGCCCCTGCCCCGCCCCCCCAGAGTACACGTATCCTGGACACCAAACAAAAACAGGAATCCGTGACGTGGCCGTCACATGGCCAGCAGGCTCGAGTTTCACAACAAACAGACGTGATGTGGCGGCAGATCGCGGCTGCACCGAGCCGCCAGAGCCAGACGGGGCGCCAGAGCACTCCTAAAGGCTACTCTAGGACACGTCCCCAAACGGCCCCTCCACAGCACCACTCGGGGGGGAGGGGGGGCTTGTGTTTCACGACCGCCAACGTCCTCAGCTCATGCTATACTGCTTGGGGAGGGGGGAGGCATCCCTGGGCAGTGGCGTACCGTCAAAGTCAGTGTAGACCGTGTCCTTCAGGATCGCCCCCGAGCCGAAGTCGATGAGCTTGAGGTCTCCACTGCTCAGATCCACCAGCAGGTTCTCATCCTTGATGTCCCGGTGAACCACGCCGCAGCTGTAGCAGTGGCGGACTGCCTCCAGAACCTGCCGAAAGAAGCCACGGGCCGTGGCCTCGTCCAGGGCGCCCTTCTCGGTGATGAAGTCGAAGAGGTCCTTGACGGGCTCAGGTCTCTCCATGACGATGAGCCAGCCGTCGGGTCGCTCGTACCAGTCCAGCAGCTTGATGACCCCCCGGAATGAGGGACCCACCTTCTTCAGCAGGACAATCTCCAGGGGCACAACTGAGCCATTCTGGGGGAGACCGAACAAAAAGCCATGTTCAGCAGGGTCTCTCACCAGGCACCTCACCCAAAAATACTGCACAATCAGGCGGGGAGGGAAGCCACCAGATACGTACAATGGTGCCAAACTCTGTGACACGGTCCCTCGCCACATGCTTGACAGCGACCTGGAGAGGGACAGAGAACAGTCTCACCAACTAGACAACGACATCCCGAAGGCATCTAAAGGAATCTCCATGCAAGGGGAACGGTCCCGGGGAGTTCCCCTAATACTTCATCAAAATGACAATTAATACGATTTTAAAACACCGATATTCAGATGTTTCAAGCTGCACCGATAGAGATCATTAGCAAGAACACTAACTATAACAACAATAACAAAAACAGCAAAAAAATAGGCGACGCGTACCGGCAGCCCGTCCGAGACCCGGTTACCGGCGTACACGGTGCCGAAACCGCCGCTCCCCAGCACCGAGCCCACTTGGTAGACCTTGTCAAACGGCTCCTTCTCGACCTTCACTGCGGATCAAAAAAGCACGGAAAGGTTGGACTTATACTCCACAAACGAGACATTAAAGCAGAAGCACAGATCCGGCGTGACCCTCCGGAGTGTCCATGATGCGGGAGAGCACGACCCTGAGCGCGAGGCGGCGCCGGCGCACCTGGTTGCAGCTGGATCTTCACCGGCAGGTGCTCCATCGCGCCGGGGCTGCACATGTGCGACAGGGAGCCCAGCTTGGAGAGCAGCATGTTAGAGCTGCGCGTCGAGGCGCCTCCGCGTTTACACACCGACGAAAAATAATACAGAAAAGCTATAAATAAGTGAAGCAGCAGCGGTGGGGGGCGGCGGCGTCCGGCTATCGGCTCCGCCGCAGTCCAGCTCCGTCACACGGAGCCAAAGGCGAGCCCTCCGCACAAAAAGAATTCAGAAAGAAACACGGGCACGACGTGCACGGCTTCCAGAGCAGCTTGTGCTCAGACCGTACGGACGACAAAAAACGCCCCGAATAAAATAAATATAAATACAAATAAATAGAATACAGGTTAAAGACAATATATCGGCGTCCAGTGATCAGCTCCAATCTGACTGACCGCGAATTCGGTTCTACTCATTTAACGTCCGAAAAAGGTACATATCCCTCCGCCATGGTAATTATCCTTAACAACAATCGAGAATGCGCCGACGTTTCCTTGAAAATGTACAAAAGTGTTGTTATATTCGAAAAATGAGTCCGTATTAAATATATGAATGTTTCAATATCTTTCAAAAATCATTTTTTATAGATGGTGGATATGTAAATACACGCACTACTTAATCAGATAGTACGAGACGCCCAAGGATTTCTTGTCTGAGTGCTTCGCGTTGCGTTTCATTTGCATCGGTAGTGTGGCGCGGGCCAATCGGAATGCGCTTTATAAATACAGCCTTGTCTTTCTCACCCAATCGTGACGCGCCGTTTAACATAATGGGAGAGGACACGAGCGCATGTGGCGGGATTCCCTCCCCCGCGTCGCGGCTCTCTGCGGATGTCTACCACATGGGCTGGCACTATGCAGGGAGTCTGGCAGCGGTGGTCTGGCGAGGGGGCTCGTGTGCACGTTTTAAAACACCTCTGCATAAAGACACGTGTTGTTGTATCATTTATATTTTTGAAAGACACGGCTTTCCAACGGCTTAATACCACTTAAGGAAGAGGCTACTGCAGTGCTTATAAATGCAGCGAAATGTCTCTGCGTATAGAGCGGAATACCAAGGGTAACCCATAGAGGGGGCTACGTGGACAACGTGCATTACTGAGATTATCCTTCACAATGCAGACATAGCAATTAATGTACAAAAAGACCTTAAGAAACGAGAGAAAGAAGTGTTACACTGTGCCTTTTGTATGTTCCCATTTTCAAAGTAAAGTAAATATTTGCCAGCTTTTAAGTATAACGTATACACAATGTTGTGGTTGTATAAGTCCCAAAAAAAAAAAATGTTCCATTTTTCCGAGCTTTGACCAATAAGTGCAAGGTAACCTTTCACTGGCAGCTTTGTGAATCCAGTGCATACCATAGCCTTTCTGACACTGCAAAAGCCACTGGAAAGCGTGCCTTGGAGTTTCGTCAGCCACCCGCCACCCGAGGGAGTGGTGGGGGGGGGAGGGGATTAAATGCTGTGGGTGATTCCTGCCCCCCAGCCAAGTGAAGAGTCAAACCAGGCTGTGCTAAAAGTCTCCCTGAGCAAAATAACATGCCTCATATGAAGCAGTTATAATGCGAAAGCTAACTAGTCATGAGTTTGTCTTTAATCCTCCCATTGTTATCTATGGCTTTTTCCATTTATGCCACGTTTAGGTAATTCTCCGTTTAATATTTCATTTGCATGTTCTCCCGCAGCAGCCGCTGTTTTCCGCCCGGTGTGTCCTGTGACCTCGGCTTCGGTAGCAAAGTGTTGGTTTATCTTGATTTCCTTTTTGTGGACGGTCAGTGCAGTAAAGGACACCGTTGCATAATATGTGAGATCAAACAGCCTTGCGGCCCTTATCTAACTGCATATATGTTTAAAAGTATGTGCAGACGCGACACTTTCAGAATCAATTCTCTTTCTAAGTCTGTTTGCTTTCAGTTACTGCAATTTTTTTTTTATATGGTGTGGTAGTTCATTTCATCATTAATGCTGTTATCAATGTTGGCATCAACATGACTGGACTATCAATGCAGAGCCAATTAGGGGATCAATTTAGTGACTACGAAAATTAGCCACATCCTGCTTCATTCAGTTTCAAGTGTTGTTGTCCAAAAATGCTCATAATTTTTTTTTTACCAGTTTAAGAGGCTTTTTTCATTCCCAGGTGTTTTAGGGTTTGAGGTAATGGCTCAGGCTTTGAGTTAGAGTATGCAAAATGTTGGTAAGTTAATCATGGTGATGGTGTTGTGCAATAGAGACAAGGGAAGTCTTTGAAAACTTTACCAACACTCACCAGAGTTACATTTCAGAAACAAAATAATATGACTGACACTATAAATTTCCATTTAGAGTGGCGACATAGCATTTCTCTCTGAACACCCTGACAGAGACGTTCCCGCTAGACGCCGTGGCGGCAGGCTGTCACGCACGAGGACGGGGGCGCTTAGCATTTAGCCACGTGTCAAGAGCGTGGTATGGAAGGAATTCAGCACGGTTCCTGGCAGAAGGTCACCCTGGAGAACTCTCCGTACGGATTAAAGGCCTGAGCAAATGTCACCCCGATATCCACCCTCGTGATCCTGGGGGAGGGGGGGGGGGTGCCAGTGGGGGGGTGGTACCAGTGGCCCTTCCACCTTCTTCAGCTGGAGCCTTCCTCTCTACACCCAGCAGCACCGCCCTGAGACGTGCCGTTCTGAACATCGCAGATCCATCGTGACGCCCGACGGAATGGATGGAACAGCCTTGAGGGCTCCCCAGCAGACGCGGCAGATTTACGGCCGAGCTTCTGTGCCGCAGACAGGTTCACTCATGCCTCTCGGTGGTTCAGGCTGAGCAGGACGGCCCCGCTCCCTCTTGAAACTGGACCAACACAAACCTTGTAACACCGAGGCATGCGTACTGCCTGCCGGCCACATTCCATACTTACAGTAATACTCCTTTTATAAGCACCACCACGATTTCTCATGGAGTAATCTTGGATAGCATTATTTTGGTTGTGGTCCTGCACTGATCAAGAGTCTGCAGTCTAATAATGTCCACTGTGATTTTGATCTAAGTTTGAAGGGTCTTTAGATGTTTCACTATGTTTATTATGCTTCATATGACCTGCTGAATTCGTACATGGAACCAGTTGTGGACTGGCTTGGAGTGATTCCCAGCGTGTTTCAGAATGCCTTACTCGCTCGTTACAATCTGCTGCCACTCTGCTGTGTTTTGATGACCGCTAAGTAGACTCTGCCAGAGTGCCTGGTTGTCAGGTGTGTTGGCTCTGTGGATATATGAAAATATCTGTGCTATGATTTGTTCCCTCTTAAACATTTCTGACAGTAGTGGGTTTTTCTGTGGGGCTATCCTGGGAATTGAGTTCTTCTGTTATGCATGTGAAAATTGACTGTAGATTGAGCAGGCTTACTTTTTATGGGGGCTGACACAGTGCTGCAGACACACTTTTGGGGGAATCTGTGTGCAGTACTGCAGTGTCAGACAGAGACCAATGGCGTCAATCCAATGGGGCTCCTCAGGGAGGTTTGATCCATTTGGATCGAATCCCCGACCTCCAGAGGCAGGCTGTCCAGTGGTGGCTGGCTTTGTGCTGACAGAGTGTCTGTTGGCCTGGCCGGGTCAGCAATCTGCTCCATCACCCCGCAGCCAGAGCCTGTCCGCGGTGGAGTGACGCCAGTCTTCTGTGTATTAATATTCCCATGATCCCCTGCTGCTGCATGAAGACTTAATGCCACTCAAGTGACTTCTGCCAATGGGCAGCTTTTGCCACCACTGAAACCATGCATGTGTAAACATGTTACTTATTTAGGAGATGTTCCACTAACCAGCTAGCTAGCTATGAGCTTCTAGCTGTTCTCGCTAGCTATTTATTTATTTCTTGAAATATCAGAGGTGGGCTGAAATTACTTTTTGAGTGGGGCCCCAGGAACCACAAATCCACCCCTGCTAGCTGTGTTGTTCAGAGATTTTTTTGAGGGACAGGTGCTACAAAGGGGGTGGGGGTGGGGGTGGAGATGGTGGAGGTAGCGGAGGTTGATTTTTGTCAACTGGGGGGGGCCGTGAGGAAGTCCATCTTGGTAAATTTTTCTGACTGGGGGCTTCAGAATGGGACAGTCAGAACATCAGAAAGAGGCACTTTCAGTCTATTGGGCTAAGGAGTATGTGCTAACCCCCGCCGCCCCCCCCAAGCATGTGCCAGCATGGCAGTACCACATACACCCATCCCACAGCATATATTTTTGGCTGGGCAGTTATGAAGATCTCAGGCTCCGTTGTACCACATCAGGGACGCTGTGGAGGTGGCTGGTGGTTCCAGACACTACAGCAGAATTAGAAACACATGGCGATTTGCCCACACCATCCTGTTCTAGTGAGACATCAGCAATTTGTACAAACTGTGAAACACCCCAGTGACATGGAGGTAAATTTAACTGAGGCCTGTTGTTGTCACACTCCTTCTGCATGTTTCCCTGAGATTTCTGCTTGGCAGTGCAGAAATGATGGTCCTGACGGGTCTTGCTGCAGTTAAAGCTCAGTACGTATGACCGTGGCATACCCAGGCAGTGTATGAAACTGAAAATTTTAGCTGCTCCATTTACTCGCTGAGTAATGAGATTGAGACCGAATGTGTGCGGCCGATTGGCTGGTGTTTCCGGGTGTTTCCACTTTGCTTGCCCCTCGAAGGGGCCGAAGACCCCTTTGGCACACCTCCCCCCAGCAGACAGGCCTGTGATGAGGCTTAATCACCAAGCCACAGAGTCAGCGCTGAGCACCTCCTAACGAAGGCCAGGTAATTAGGCATCGCGTATTCAGCAGTTAGACAAATAGAGCAGCAGATTCTAGAGTAATTAGATAATTTTTGCTCTGCTGTACTCTGCCAATCTGAGGTAAAACCTTACATTCATTTATCACCCTTAAATTTCAGCACATAGTGTCAGTCATGATGTCAATGTCACACATGGGTGAGTTTTTTTTTAATGTGTTTCTGTCATTCTTATTACTCTGTAATATTATACAGATGAGTATTACAATATTACTACAATATTCATTTTTTTTTCTTTATTCATAATTTGTGCTCAAAAAAGAGAATTATTAAGGCAAAGAAAATCATCATAAACATTTTGGGCCGAAGTCTGATAAACTGCTGTGTTTGTATCCCGATTGGCTGTAGGATGTAGTAGTTATTAGTGATGGTCTTCGTACGCTGGCACGCTGTAGTGGGAGCACAGATGACGTGTTTCCTTTGACAGGAGCCTCTGTGTCCCCTGCGCTGTTTTTGCTGATGTTACTTCCAGCTGTAGCCCCAGCATGGCGGCACGCGCTGCACGTCCCCGAAGCATTTCAGCCCCATCCTCTCCATCGTGTTTTCGGTGAGTTGGTGACTCCACGCTATTGAATACGCTTGTGTGTGTGTTCCCTGATATAGGTTGGGATGAACCCTGCCTTACCGTCCTCGTCACTCGCTGGATAAGAAACTTTTCAGGAGGGACAGATGGAATTTGATTGCACCAATTTTGGCTCGTGAAGAAATTGATCTTCTATCTAAGGTCCTCTTGCACTTTATCTGGAGCTGTGTTTCAGCCTCCATTTTTACTGGCCTTGAGCTTCCAGCCTGCGCTCACGTTTCTGTGCCGGTCTAAACGGAAGACAATCTTTTTCTTCCCTGTGAACGGGGCAACCTCTCCTGGTGATGCTGGATTTTGCAATGGACATGCCTCTCCTCTCCACATCACCACAGGGCGTGTGCGATGGTCACATCCACACCTCGAGCGAGTGATTCTTTGTGACCTCACTGTTTCACAACTCTGTGTGCCATTTAAGAAAGTCATTCAGAGGTGAAGTTTGTTTGAACACTGATGATACATGGCAGCTGCTCAGTAAATCATTTCCTTTTTAACACCTTAAGTCTCTGACTTATATAACGTTTTGCATCTCCAAAACTCGCTCACTCTTCTCTCTTGTGCAGGAAGTAGAGGTACTGTTTAGTGCATCAAAGAGCCTTTATTTAATTACAGTACAGAATACTCACGGCAGAGAGAGACAGCAGGTTGATATGGCAACGGAGGGGGTGCTAATTACTTTGCCCATTTATGAGTAGGAATCCCCCTTTAAAGGGCAGAACACCTGTGAAGACCCCCCCCCCCGAACCAAATGCCTCATACTATTAACTGTTTCATTTCCACAGTCACACTGGTCCAGGTCTACTGGGATCTGCTTCAGCTTCAGAGATACAGACGTGCAGAACTGGCCAAAGCTTTGCAAGTCATCACAGGATGGGATTATAAATTGAGATTATAGGGATTATAGGTTGAGATTTGGAAGTGGGAGCTCTGGATGGATGATATGCTTCTGCTCTAAACCTGTGCTGCATTTCTGCCAATGGGAAAACCTGTAAGATAGCCGGGACGTGGCCAATGGGAAGTCCACATTCATAAGATAACTTGGACCTGACCAATGCGCATCTTACATACCCAAGGCAGATAGGTTATATCCAATAAACACAATACATTCAAAATGTAAAACTGTGAAAAATTCTTCATGCAGACCTCAATGAGCTGGTCTGTACAGTGTGTTTATTTACTTTATAATCATGTGTCATTTTTCCTTTTTTTGGGAATGGGGCATAAATAAGCATTATGCAACATGACAGGTATGTATACCGTCAGAGCCTGGCCTACCGAGCACATTAGTACTTATTAGGTAAGGGTTTGGCCTGTAGCAGGTATAAACTCGTTTTTTTATGCCATGCCTCTATGAAGATGGTTGCACTTGTGATCACCGTCATCCGCTTTGGGTCCCATGATCCAGATCACAGCTGTTCACTTTCGGATTGGCTGGGCTGCCACCATCCATTACAAACACTTTTTTGACCTTGCCCGACCTTGACCACGAAGGAATCACCTTTACAGTCGCTCGTCTGATGGGGGATGCCGATTACCGTTATCACTGTCCGCCAGGAGAGTGAACGCTTCATCAGAGACCTAGCATTATCAGCCAATCCAGTACCTGTGCGTCTTTCTCAGTTGTCTGTATACTGTTCGGCCTGAAAGATGCACCTGTTTAAAGCTGTCTCTATTATTGTCATTACTACTATTATCATGATGATCATCATTTAAATTATATTATCATTGTTATTATTGTTGTTTTTTCATTGCATTTCACTATACTGAATTTTTTTTACTAAAAAAATCATTGAGTGCTGAGGTTAAGAAACAGGCAGTAAACCCTAAGCCTACCCAGCATTTTATATTGGAGAAGTAGAGATTATGATTATTATTAAGGTGTAATAACATTCCAGAAGGACATTTCTTTCTGTTCATTAGTGCAGTCCTGGCAGCTGTACAAGGCGGCACATGAAAGGATTATACATACCTCCAGATAACCACGCACACAGTTGGTTCAATAAAAAGGTTAGTGTTTTCCACACCCCCTTTTCATTTCCAGCTGGGAATCGTATCACGTGTGGCTAGTACGCTGTGGGCTTTTTTTTGGCCCCGTTTCCGCTTTACCTGGCAGCTTGCAGGGCCATTTACAGTCACAGGAGCGGAGCACCGCCTGGGTAAGGCGAGATTTCCAGGGGCCTGCATGACAGCAAAGGGAACCACACGCAGAGCAGCGTCACAGCTGCGCTGGCGGCCCAATGCCATGTCGCACTAATGCATTGTGGGAATTGGTCTGTGCAGTTTCCCCTTACGGTCCTTTCTCTAGATCAAAGCCTTTCCCAGGCTTCAACCCTTCAGATCTCTGTCCTGCACAGGAAACAGAGAGGCTCTGCCATCCTCCCTGGGAGGCGTGCAGGTGCTGCCTTATGTCTTGCAGCTGTAACATTAAGTCATCCAGGTATTAGGTTATGTCATGCAGGTGTTGTGCTGTGTTTTAAAGGCACGCCTGGTCAGGATTCCGCCGCCTTCAGTACTGACTAGACCGCAGCTTGTTTACTTTAACATCTTTTTGATTTTATAAATTAGTTTGCATTTATTTTAGCTTTGGGCTTGGGGGGGCGTTGTAAGTAAAGGACCTTTAAGTTAGTGGTCTCTTCCTTTCATTCTCTTAGGTCTTACAGGGAACCACACAGAAATCCAGAACAAACAAGCGCTCACAGCCACAACAGTATTTACGGCCAATTCTGCAGGATGAGGGACACTCAGCTGTAAATCCGGCCCCTTAACTATAGGACCGTGACCGCATGTGCCTCTCCGGGTGACCACGTGGTGATCACGATGCAGGGCATGTAGGTGAACTCCAAAGGATTTGGGGAGAGAAAGGCTGAAGACCTAGAGAATGTTCCTGATGTTCCTGCTTTGGGTACAAATGGTGCCAGACACACACCCCGAAACTTACAAAGGCAGGGTGGCATGTCTGCTCGAGATGGCACCTGTCATGGAGAACTGTAAGCCAACATGACTTCACAGGGCGCTTCCACACTCCTTTCTGCCGTGTTGGTTTTGTTGCTATAACAGTTTACACAAAACTTACATCGTGACTGCACTCCATCTCATCTCATCTTATTCATTACATTTTTCAGTTCGTAAATGATTTGCTTGTTTGTCGATGCAAACCACCATCTTTGTCTCTTGCTAAGTGACCTGTGGGTCAGATTCCTTTAGTAATGTTGGTTGATTTCCTGCAGATTTTTTTTTTTTTTTATATCAAATTCCCTTTAGTGCTACTTAATGTTTGTACATTAACCCTGCAAATATAAAAAGAAAAAAATTCTCTGAGCTTCCAAAGTTCAAGAACAAGATAAGTCATGTACACCTTGTCTTGAGTTACGAGGGATACATTTGCATAATGAGTAGAACGGTATGTACGTTTGGGGGGGGGNTACTCTACATCCGTAGATGAGCTTTTCCTTTCTGCAATTGGGAAATAATGTCGCTATGCAGGGTTCCCGATGTGAGCCGCTGTCTCCTTCCACAAAGCTTCCATTTTAGGTAAATCTGTGGCACTAATTAACTTCACGCTAAGCCATCCATCCCGAATGGCATTCTGTCACTCCCAGGAGATGAGGGAAATAAAGTCTTCGGCTGAACTTTGTTCACCTGATATATTTTTTTCTGCATTTCTCTGTTGATACTCTGACCCCAGCAGATTAAATATCGATTACCTTAATTCACTCAATTAACAGTCTAATTACAAAAAAAGTAACAGGTTGGGTGGGTGTTTGTTGTTTTGCATCAGTAGAAATCCTGCTGGAAATATTGTGAAAGCATAATGTATGTGTTCATATCAGAAAACAGTAGCACTGCTAAAATACACAAAATAAAGCATCATCATCATCATCATCATTGTCATCATCATTGTCTTCCCGCCGCTTCTCCAGGTGAGGCTATGGGTGTTTCTCAATACCAAGAATGCAAAGATCATACTTGTGGTTTTGGCAAGAGTGATCTTGCTAACTTGCCTGCCAAGAATGAACTTGGGACGCAATAAATTATAGGATTGGTCTTGTTGGCAAGGGTGCAACCAATGTATCCGTAATATTTGGAAAAGTCTTTTTACCGTCCTCTGTACTAATGTTCTTGAGTATTGGAACTGGTCTTCAGCAATGGAAGATGACGTACAATGATACACAAGAACACAAGTATGGTCAAGTTCTCATATTGACGAACATCCTAGGTCTGACCACACCTCTCTCTCTTTCCATGACCACAAACTTCAGCCAGAAGGATCTGTCCCTGAACATTCCCCAACCAGCTGGGAGATACGATCTTCCCTTCCTCACACTAAGAGAGCCTCATCTTGTCTGTACAGAGACCACAGAGGGCATGTTCGGGGAGGGAATGGGGTCACGTGCAGGTATACTGGCTTTAATGTAGAGACGGCCCCCAGCCCTCCACTCACACCTGGATGCTGGAGGCACCCTACAGTAAAGGTCTCCATGTAATCACCATCACCCTGTTTGTGGTCCATCATTGTGACCGAATCCAAAAGCAAGCTCAACGTATACCTTGGTTGCTGGTGTTCCTCCAGAGCAGACCCTAATCTCCTGCCACGTTAAAGAGTCTCCTTTTTAAATATTAGTGCTCTCAGAATTCGGACTAGTCCCAAATTCGTTATTTTAGGTGATCTCTGGTTAGTTGCTGATTTATTTCAGTCTATTCAAAGCCCGTGATTTGGTCCCACCTTCAGCAGGTATTAACAGTACGCCTGCGTCAGCCTGGGTAGAGGTCTTCAGGAACACCGTGTAAAGTCATAAAAATATATGCAGGTAATAAAAATGAAATAAATTCCGGAACTTGATGTTACAGATGAAGGTGTGGGCTAATCACACGCTTCCAATTTAGCCCTTAGATACATTTTAATCTCAGCCGTTTTTCAAACAGCAAATGCTGTGTCAGGATTGCCTTCCTGTCACATTCCCACGTTTCCACATGTAGACTAATCACTCGTGTGAAGTGTTTAGATGGAAACACCAGAAGGAGCCTATGATCCTAATCAGTGGTTTGGTGCAAGTTAGGGTGTAAGTCTAGTTTGAGTGTGAGATCGTAGTTAGCTACTGGTTGGGTTTTATGTCTGGTTTGAGATCTTCTCAGCTTCCATGGATGAGTATGGCTCAGATCAGCATGGTGTATTTAATCCTGGCTCTCCAATGCTCCTGTGGCTCCTGAGCTATTCTGGTCTGTATTTTTGTGTGGTTTTCTCTTGGGGGGGGGGGCACATGCTATATTAGGCAGAGTTTATAAAGAGCCGCTAGTGGCATTTATAGCACCGTAGACGAGATCTCACTGCTACGAATGACCTTTAAACAGGGGGCTTTGGCCACAGGACCCTGCAGGGACACCAGCACTGCACACAGCAGATGCAGACTGCTGAGCAATAGTGACATAGCCCTCATAGCAATAGTGACATAGCCCTCATAGCAATAGCGATGTAGCTCTCATAGCAATAGCAACATAGCCCTTGTCCCTGCTCATAGCGACAGCAATGTAGCCCTTGTCCCTGTTCCTAGCAATAACAATGTAGCCCTTGTCCCTGTTCCTAGCAATAACAATGTAGCCCTTGTCCCTNCAATGTAGCCCTTGTCCCTGTTCCTAGCAATAACAATGTAGCCCTTGTCCCTGTTCCTAGCAATAACAATGTAGCCCTTGTCCCTATTCCTCGCAATAGCAATCTAGTCCTTGTCCCTGCTCCTAGCAAAAGCGATATGGCCCTTGTCCCTGGTCCTAGTGAAAGTGATGTAGCCCATGTTCCTGTTCCTAGCGAAAGCAATATAGTCCTTGTCCCTGTTCCTAGCAATAACAATGTGGCCCTTGTCCCTGCTCCTAGTAAAAGCAATGCAGCCCTTGTTCCTGTTCCTAGCAATTGCAATGTAGTCCTTCTCCTTGCTCCTAGTGATAGAGATAGACCTGCCCCCTGACATCTCTCTTGCTTCTTCATTAATTTCTCAGCTTTAGACACTCAAAGCCTGTTCTTGGGGGTGGGGGGCATACAAGGTGAGCAGTGATGGCCACAGCTCACCACTCAAAGTGACTTCTGAAGTGGCTCAATCCCAGAATCCCCTGCAATTTGGCATGTTCTGGAAGATTCTGCTTCTTTGTTTTGGCAGTAGCTGAAGATCACATGAGCACAGAGCAGTGCCACTTGACTGAACATGTCAGTACGTTGTTTTGATTCCCGTGACAGGTGACACAAAGTCACACAGACAGCTGCTACATCATCATTGACTGCATGTGACCACATGACTTCATATTACTGAAGTAAGTAAGTGGGAGAGTAATCATATAAGATGAAAAAAGGGCTGGAACACAGAGACCCATATTAGGGTGGGGTCAGCTGTCAATTGGTGATGGCTATCATAACAATTAAGCAGCTAGACAAGCAATCAGCATAAATGATATGTGTGTGTGTAATGCTGGAGGGAATAAACACAAAACTAACACAGATATAGAGAATGATTTAATGAAACTGCAATAGGCTGTTAGATGAAACATGGAAGGTTCTGTTTGCTGTTCTGGACCATAGATTTTAGGTAAATATTGTTCGTTTTTGTCCACATTTTTCCAATATCAGCTCGGGACCTTTTCCGATTGGTGAAAATAGCTCATCTCTTAGTAATCAAAGTATTTTGCACTTTTTATTTCCCAGCACAATCCGGGAAATTTTCATCAAGCTTGTTAAACTCTGCATTCGGCAGAAGCGACGTCCGCCAGACACATATCACACAGTCAGCTGGTCATGTCTCACAGCTCCAGAGCTACCACGGCTAGCACCCAGAGACGACAGCTTTGTGCTGTTTCTGAGTGAAGGTTCTGGAATGAAACACCATCACGTCAGTCTTTTGTCTGACGGGACTTTGGCCCAGAAGGAGCCCCTGTCTGTCTCACCAGGCTGCAGCAGCAAGTGTCTTGGCTGGACCTCAGGTCCAAAGAATTGTGCTTTTCCCATAAACCCATTTCAGCATTTTCAGGCTCTAACAAGCAGGCCCTGTGGGTACAGTCAGACATGGCGCTAACTGATATGAAGTCCAGTGTTTCCCCTACAATTATATTAGAGGGGCGCCCCGCCCCCCCTTGAAGGTCAAGTTAATTTTATTTAATTTTGTATATAGCGCCAGGTCACAACAGAAGTCATTTAAGGTTACCTTTCCTATAGAACAGGTCAATACATTATCCTTTTATTAAACAAACTAAATAGCCTTATGTTATTTATCTTATTTACACAACACCTGTTCATTTTTGTCTCTGCATGGTGGCGTGTTTACAATTCTCCTCTGCTCTCTGTATCGCGCATGGCGGAGTTCCGCCCCGATCGCACACACGGGTGAGCACACGTCCACCAGCGGACAGAGAGCACGCGTCAGAAAATATGTCGCGTCAACCACCTGAATAGCCAGGTAATAAATACGTTTCACAATGGGATTTTCTGCTTTAAACTATCACTATTTTAAGCTATCAGCTACCACTTTTAAAGCCTAACAGTTAATGTATTTGCAGGTCAAGACAAACATCCGCAATCGGACTCTGTCAGCTGACGTCACACTCGCTATAACCGCAGTGTATTATGGGTTGAATCGCCAATGCTGTCATTAAAAGAAATACATGAACACCATGAATCCTGCCCCCCCCCCCCCCCCCCCCCCCCCCAAGCTGTAAACCTAGGGGAAACACTGACATCCTAATTCATACAGCCTCAGTGGGTCACAGAGTCTCAGTGAGTCATGTAGCCTCAGTGGGTCACAGAGTCTCAGTGAGTCATGCAGCCTCAGTGGATCACAGAGTCTCAGTGAGTCGTCAGCCTCAGTGGCTTATGGAGTCTCAATGGGTGATAGAATCTCAGTGTGTCAAAGAGTCTCAGTGAGTCATGCAGCCTCAGTGGCATATAGAGTCTTAGTAGGTCATAGAGCCTCAGTGAGTCATAGAGTCTCAGTGGGCGATAGAGTCTCTGAGTGTCATACAGCCTCTGTGGGTCATAGAGTTTTAATGAGTCACAGAGTCTAAGAGTGTCATGCAGCCTCAATGGGTCATACAGTATTTTGGATCATGGAGCAGCTGTCACGCTGTGAGTTGTGCCAGCTGTATTTTTACCTCGCAGGTGGTGTCGCGGGCCTTGAATGGGCAGAGGAGCCAAGCATATGCCAACAGGGAGGTTGAAGTCCCTCATAGCCAATCAGAGGATGCGCCAGGGGCCCACCTCTGCGGTGAGGCGT